GAGTTAAGCTCTTCCACAAGCTCTACAGATAAGTCTGATGGAGATTCCAGGGAGAAGTAAGTATTTTGTTTAATACTGTGTGAGAGTTTTCACTGCTATATTGGACCTTGACTTGGAGTGGAAAAAAAATGGCAGGAATTGCTTTCACACTTTATCTCTGCATAATCAGTGATTGAAGAAGTATGTGGTGCATAAAGAAAACAAACTCCATTTAATTGTTGTCTCTCTGTGACTATAACTTTCCATTCTGAACTTTCTGGGACATGTGATCGTGTACCCCTGTTTTTTGTCACCTGTAGCTTCCCAGGAAACCAGTCGTCCAGCATCAAAGGACATATACGGTCAGGATGCATTAAAAGCATGAGTTCAAAGGTGCCAATATGCTTCCTTTCCACTGTGAATGAGGCTGTATTTATTTCTGATTTTATCAGTGTAAGCAGCTTTTCGGAAAATATGCTCTGTTTCATGACAACAGGTGCAGCTACACAGGTAGCAGTAGCCAATAGGATTGTGAATTGTTGCTAGGCGAATGGGCTCCGAGCCTTTGTTAGATGAAATGCTGCTAATGGTGCTATTGATAAAACTGCACCACAAGAAGTAATTTAACATGGAATACTTAGCAGGACCTCGCTAAACTTACAGAAAGTCCTCTGAATGCAAGGTGGAAGTTGCATCACAAATGGTGACTGAATTACATCTTATTTTTCCTCTACTAGAAAAAGCAATGTGAATGAGATGAATGACTTGGTGCAGCTAATGACATGGACACTGAAAATGGCCTCTAAGGAGAACTCTGAATGCTGTGTAACCTCGACTCCAGCCCCAGAGTTTAAACTTCATAGAAAATATCGAGACACTTTGATTTTGCATGGAAAATCACCTGATGAATCAGAGGAATTAAAATTTGAAGATATTTCTTCAGGTCTGTTACTCTGTTATTGCTTTAAATGAACGGTTGTCAACTGCTAATAACCAAAGAAAAACCTGCTAGTGGGCAACAGAAGGCAATCCACTCTTATTTCTTCTCAAGTCTCAACAATGCTTACAGAAGTAAACATCTTTCTAAATTTTGTGTGCAAAACTGCTGTAGTTGTGGTTTACTCGCCAATGAAAGGAGTGTGTCATCGATCTGTGTAATTATTGAAGAGAGAAAGCTGGTCTGCAATATGATTTTTTTTCCCCATGTGACTTATACTTGGAAGCTTCCAAAATGAACAGTCGGAGTTGAGTACTTTGAAATAAGATTTTTAAGGCATTCAAACGATTTGAAAGCTGTAAAGCTTTGTGAATTATGGATAAAGCTATAATTGTACACAAAGCATTAAACACAGTGGAGGTTTGTACAAGTATAGAAGCTCATCCTCATTGCAGAATTTGGGCAAGCTTATTTTTCCTACAGATACAGGTGCAAGAATCAAATCACTTTTCATATTTAAGGTCTGGTTTAGACCTTAAGTATGTATATGTATTCCAAAAAGCAAGAAAAAATTGTATTTGCTATGACTGCATTTCCTATGCAACAACAACAAGTGAAAACGCTGAGGGTGGGTTTTTGAAGACTCAAGACCTTCTTGTGCTTATTGTTTTAAATGATAAGGATTCTATTTGTAACTAGCCTGGTGATAGGCAAAGCAATGGGAGAACACTGGATTTTACTCTGGTAAGTTGATTCTGCGTAGCTGAAGTAAAATACATTGAAAGAGTTTGTCTCTAAACAGGTATGACAGAATGTTGAAGGTACAAATTTCAGTGGTATTTTTTTTTGTCCGTTTTTCTCACTCGTAAGTATTGTATAGCGAGATCCTCCAGCTGTTTACTTCCTACCACTTGGGATGACAGGGCTGCTGCATTTCTGAGCTGAAACTTATTTTAATTAGATCAGATATTTTATTTTCGGAAGGTGATCCATCCTATGAAAGGAGTGTTGGTGATTTCAGTGATTGAAAGAGCAAGCTAGTGTTGTCAGTTCAGTTCCTAATGGAGGCCTCCCCTTATTAAATGACTATCTCTTGTTGGCAGCTTCAGCTGAGGAGTAAAAGATTCAAAGGCTGTTGAGACAAACAGGCAGATGGCAGAAATGGTGCTATTAGTGTTTTACAGTGATTAAACTTTTTTCACGTTTGCTGTAAGTACAAGTGATTGAATTATTAAAATATTTGGGTGGTGGTGTAGTATTAGAAATAGTACTTTTCATTCAAATAATATTTGTAATATAGTATGCAGGAACCACCTGAAACAAAGTTACAGGGACCTAATTGCGCAAACTATGTCTGCATAGACGTTGTACTGTCCACAGTTTTAAGAGTTAGCACCTGCGTGCTTCTGATTCACCATGTTTGTTGATCGTTCTAGCTAGTCAGTTCAGATAAACAGTTATTTCATGCAAATGGTCAGCTGGAATTCTGTGGTAATACTTACAATGTCGTCCCATATTCTTCTGCACAGGGTACAAAAATTGACTATATGGAAAGTAATTATTACTGCATCGATCTATCTTATTTTTATTTAATAGGTATGTTATCAGTTCCTGACAAGATTAGGAGAATGGTTGAAATCCTGAGATCTGACGTGGTGCAAGGATTGGGAGTGAAACTTCTTGAGAAGGTGTACAGCATCATGGAAGAAGACGATGAAGTGAAAAGAGAGGTGAATGTCTTTCATGTTAAAATTGTTTAATTTCTTTATAATCCTAGATAAATGAGCAGGGTCTTTACCACCTCCCCCCGCCCCCGGCTTTTTTAGATATTGATATAGTAGTGCAAACCTTGATTCCAAAAAGTGTTTATGTAGTCATCGGCAGGCAAGGGCCTAAGTATATTGGCATTTGCAATCTTAACAAGTTAGCAATTCTGAATGTGGACTATGTTCACCACAAATTCTTCAGGACGTATAGGAGCTTTAGAATTGTACCATGGTCCCTGAGCTTGTGGAAGATGCGAGAGATGCGAATAATTTTACTGTGTGGTATTTCTCCAATAACAATTTTTGAACCATAATTTTTTGCCTTTGCATTACTTTGCCTAATGCCCCTTATGTCCAAAGTGAGAAACAGTTTAATGTCTATAGACATTATAGATAGAGGTGAGTGAGCAGTACCTCCAGTTCACTTGATTTGAAACTTGGTTACAAATAAAATACTGCATGGGTAAGTACAACCTGTGAAGATCCGATTTATATTTTACGTTGTCGGGTGGGATTTGGAACTCTCTTGCCTTCAGACAACAAAGACTTCCATTTTTCTTTCCTCCCATCTATGTTGTCAAACTTCACATGCTGCTTTCAGTTGAGTGCTTTGGTATTTTTTTTGTTAATATTTTGGTAGTTCCTGCTCTTTTCAATGTCAGTAAATTTTGTGGGGGTTTTTTTGTGTGTTCTAAATAGCTGCAGTTGCGGGAGCATATGGGAGACAAGTATGCAAGTTACAGTGCGAAGGCACGCCATCTGAAATTTCTTGAAGAAAATGTGACGTTCTGACCAGAACTTTCTCCTTAGAGCAAAGGACTGTTTTATAGCTCATTTGATAGATTGGACCAGCTTATAAAGCACCCATTGACCTCCTTTGCTGGAATAAGGAGGTGAACTTGCAAAAAATGTTATAGTTTGTAGCAATATTTTTCATGTTAAAATGTGAACCAGGCTATCACTCTCTCAGAAGAGAAACTGTTTAGTTTAGTTTTTATTCTCTTAATGAAACTTTAAAAAGTTGCTTTTTATAGATGCAAAGAGGGAGGGATACCAAGTTTTGTATACAAAGGAGTGTCAAAAAATGATGTTTTGATTTGAATTTGTCATAGCAAAAGGTTTTTTGGGATGGTCATATACTAAATACGGTAACGAAATCTATGCCAAGGCTATGGTGGGATAGGCTATAAGCTATTATATCAAATAGTTGTGAAAACTTAGCAGGCAGAAACATTTACTAATTTTTGTAGCACCAAAAGCCCTCCAGGTTCTGTAAATTGCCAAGCTGAAGTGCTAAAGAGGGTGGTTGTACTGCTTTTAAGCAGAGCCTTTCCTTTTGTGTCTTACTGCTAAGGCAATCACCAAGGTGGTGGAAAGTATTTGGAAACTGGATAAAATAAGTCTGAAAATGTTTGAAAGGAACACAGCCATGGTTACCATGGTCCCAGCTGGAGAAATCCCTTTGCCTTACAAATACTAATTTCTTTTAGGAATGAAAGTGCCCAAGACCAGGGTCACTTAAAGAAACAGTGTCTTAGCTTTTCCCTTTCTTTGCATCTAGATTGTGTTGCTACACATGCCCAGGCATTGTCATGTACCATCACTACAGAAAAAGCATGTATTCTTTTTAAAGGATAAAGCAGCCAAAAGGGAATTGACTTTGTAAAATAAAACTTTAAATGCACAACCTGTCTCTTTTCCTGCCTCTAGCTTAAATATTGTAACCTCCAGCACCTGAGGGAAACTAACATGACAGTAGTAAAAAAAGTGCAATACCTGTGGATCCTGCTGCCTCTCACATAATAGAAGTTCAAGTTATGAGGTTTCAAGAGCTATTGTATTATGCAGACTCAAGATGTTACTTTCTCTAACCAGGCAAATTTATTTTAAACAAAAAAATGCCACTCTGTAATCTCCTATCCTAGAATACATTCCAATTCTTAGCATTTTTCAGGACTGTGGGGTATGTACTGTTTTGCCATACTTGTTACAACCTGACACTACCGATAGCTCGATTTACACAAGGTTAGCAATATTTTAGTAGAAGTCCAGCTGTATATTATCTTTTAGGCTATGGCAACAGCTTAAATAGGCTTGATTTGATTTGCTGTGTTCCTTTTTACTAAAATACTTGAGTGAGAGGAGACCTCCAGTAGCGTTCTAGAGTTAATCCCCCCACACCTGCCTTCCCAGTGACTTCACTGAAACTCCAGCCGAAATTTAGAGAGCGAGCCTTCCTGCTCTCTGCAGATCCTTGTGTACTCATGGTAGGATACAAAGTAGTAAGAAAAAAACCAAACACTGAGCCAAGAAGTATCTCCCAGTGGAAATGCATTTAACAAAATTTAACAAAGTAACAGCATGAAGAGCCACATTTTTTTTAGCTTTTAGCATGTCTCTTCGGCTTTCTGTCTGCTGGCTTCTTTTCTTCTGTTCCTGACTCTTGGACAGGTAGCCACTTCAGAGGATTGCGGCGGTACATAGGCCACGGAGGGAGCGTTAGCTTAGAGAAGAGGAATGGAGTCAGAACGTGTAAATCAAGATGCTAGATAAGAGATAGATTATATATATATAGTCTACATTGTATACTGCATAAGCATGCTTAAGTAAGCATGACTAAAGGACCCCAGCTCATTGCAAGGAGGAGGACGACAGCACCCACCCTGAAGAAAAAAGGATACCCCTGGACTACTGAGGTAATGCCAGCATCCCAGCCCCTCTGACAAACACCCCTGTGAAACCCTCCCATTATCTGGCATCATAGATAAGTAACGGGTGATGATGATGCCGTAGAATTATAGTGGCTTTTCAAAACAGTAGTTGTGTGTGTTAAGTAGTGATTGGTCAAATCGCGTTGTATCTGAACGCTTGAAAGGTAGAAGAACCACATGTAAAACCACACTCGGTGCCCCCCAGTTGGAACGGGACACCTCACGTGCACGAATAAGGAATTACTCTTGTAATTCTATACTTTGCATCCTAGCCTCTCTCCTCAGTCAGCACGGGCCAGCTGCAAAATTTTCGTGACAAGCTACTACTAGAAAGCCTTACTGTCCTTTCTGTTATTGATGCTATCAGCTTGACTTAAAAGTAACATTTAATTGAAATGAAAAACTAATTCAATGTTATGCAGCAGTATGAAATCGCAGTGTTCTCTAAAATCTCACTAGCATTTGAGAAAAGGCACTGGCTTGTAAAGCACTTTCTACAGATCAAAGAAAGTACTAACAATGTATTAACAATCTGAATTGCATAGCAAACATTTGTCTGTGCTGACAGCCCCTTAATTTAATGATTATTTCAGGTTAATTAGTGCATGTATTTTCTGGTTTGGGGAAACAATTCTTACCAAACACGATAAAGCAAATCCAGCCATAACTATATAGACAGTCCATCCAAACTGTTCAGTGATGTATCCATAGATGAAACCAATTATCTGCAAAAAATAAAATTAAAATCAAACTTTAAACAAACAAAAACATTTCCCATACTATGATTAAGTTGGGGTGTGGGGGTGGAGAAGCAGAAAAATACAGGTTTTTCAAAAGCACAGTTCATACATCTTTCTAACCTTGTTTTCAAAGTTGTAGGCCAATAATGAAAGTAAAAGATTGAAAGAAGAAAAGTCTTAATCCATGACAGCCCCTCCCATTAATCTAAAACTTTTAGTGACCCGGTTAAGCCAAACAACCAGAAAAAACCCTTGTTTGTAAGATCAGAAAACAGAGTCCTTTATGTTATCACCCATAGCTCTAGCGTACTTACTGCAGAGACAAGAATGATTCCTTGAAAAATCTGTTCTGCTAATTTTTGGCCCTTGTAGTCCTGTGGAAAGAGATATTTTTTGTCAATTACCCAAAACACAAACCTACCAGTTAAACTCTTTCAGGTTAGAGCCTAGAGTCAGCCTGACCACAGGTTCACAGCTTTTTTGTTCGACTTTCAAACCAGACTGGAATTATTTTTCTTACGATATCTGGATTTCAAGTGTGAAAGAACTAAGCTCTTAATTCACCTAACACCTCCCCCCTCCAGTCTTGACCCCCTCACCTAAAAATAAAAGCGAGCACTGTCTGCTCAGGGTAAGTAACGCAAGTTCAAAATACCATGGTAGTTCGCTTAACACCCCTGCGCGAGAGCCGCGCCACCACAGAAGAGAGTGTACGCTCGAGAGGATACGATACGCGTACCACCGGTGTTTGCATGGCTTCAGAAAACGCGGCTCTCGATGAACACGCTTTGCCTTCTGGCTGTAAGTGGCCCCGACAGAGGAGTCCAGAGGGGCTTCCCTCGCGCAGCTGGGCGTTGCCTTCCTTTTACAGCGCGTTAAAGCTCGACTTCTCAGACCGGAACGTGGCAGTTAGAGGGCGCGCAGCCCCAGCGTCCGCCCGCACCGCCCGGGGGTCGGGGAACCCTAC